CCAGTTACCAGGACGGTGAGACACACACAGACATGCTCGCTCACTATTTCAAGGCCTACGTCAGTTATGTTTTTTCCTCTGACTGGCTGTGGTGTGTGTTTATATATTGTCCCCCCCAGGTGTAGAGAAGCCAGGCTCAGCTGTGTCCCCAGGCTCCAGGTTCACCTATACCTGGCAGGTGTTGGACGGCCCCTCCCTCTCTGACCCTCCCTGTGTGTCCTACCTGTACTATTCTGGCTCCTCCCCTGTAGAGGACACCAACGCCGGCCTCACCGGACCCTTACTGGTCTGTAGGCGTGGAGCACTGGGGGACAACGGCAAGCAGGTACATGACAGTCCACAACAAGATGGCCAACAAGATGGCGCCGACAGATACAGGTCGCCCTGTTTCTAGCTCCTAGCCACTATTGTTTTTAAAAAATTTGTACATTATTTGCTCAGAATGTTTCTAGTACTATTACCTACAGTAGAAAATAACTTTTGGATATTAGATTGGCGGTCACTCACCAGAAATTCGACCAGAAATTGGACTTCCTGGACCTGGATCCTTTGTTTGGACTACCCGAGGCTAACCCCATCCAATCAAAACGTTGCTGCCGGAGAAGGAGGAAGAGGAGGAGTGGGATCTTAGTCTTGCATTCCACCTACCTCTTCCGAGTATATTATTAGCTAACGTTCAGTACTTGGACAATAAAATAGATGAGCTCAGGGCGAGGATGTCCTTCCAAAGAGACATAAGAGACTAACAATCTGATTTACGGAAACGTGGCTCTCCGGATATATTGCCCCCATCCATACAACCAGCGGGGTTCTCCCGTTGCCCTCTGTCCGCGGACAGGAACAAAAAACTCTCAGGGAAACAAAGAGATGTCTCATGGTGTGATTGTGGTAACGTACAGGAAGTCCTTTTGTTCTCCCAATCTGAATACCTCACCATCAAATGCCGACCGCATTCCCTCCCGAGATAATTTTATTTGGTTATAGTCACTGCCATATACATTCCCCAACCAGCTGACACCGCAACATCTCTCAAGGAACTACACTGGACTTGGAAACCACATATCCTGAGACTGCATTTATTGTAACTGGGGACTTTAATAAAGGAAATCTGAGGAAAATGCTCCGGAAATTCTATCAACACAAGCAGAGAGAGCACACCCCCACATTCCACATCAACGGGGCCATAGTGGATAGGGCCAAAAGCTTCAAGTTTCCTCGGCGTGCACATCACTGATGACCTGAAATGGTCCCTTCACACAGAGAGTGTGGTGAAGAAGGCACAACTTTTCAACCTCAGCAGGCTCAAGAAATGTGTCTTGGCCCTTTACATTTACATTTACGTTATTTAGCAGACGCTCTTATCCAGAGCGACTTACAAATTGGTGCATTCACCTTATAGCCAGTGTGATAACCACTTTACAATATGTTTTTTTTTCTTTCTTTGGGGTGGGGTAAGAGGGGGTAGAAGGATTACTTTATCCTATCCCAGGTATTCCTTAAAGAGGTGGGGTTTCAAATGTCTCCGGAAGGTGGTGAGTGACTCCGCTGTCCTGGCGTCGTGAGGGAGCTTGTTCCACCATTGGGGTGCCAGAGCAGAGCAAAGCAGAACCCTTAAGACCCTCACAAACTTCTACAGATGCGCCATCCTGTTGTATCACCGCCTGGTACAGCAATTGCACTGTCCGCCTCCGCAGGGCTCTCCAGAGGGTGGTGCGTTCAACCCAACAAATCACCCGGGGGCACACTGCCTGCCCTCCAGGACACCTACAGCACCCGGTGTCACAGGAAGGCCAAGAAGATCATCAAGGACCTACCTCAGCCACCCGAGCCACGGCCTGTTCACCCCGCTACCATCCAGAAGGTAGAGACAGTACAGGTGTATTAAAGCTGGGACCGAGAGACTGATAAACAGCTTCTGGTAACCCTTCATTTGACAGCCTGTTAATAATTACATAGTAACAAAAAACGAAATACGTAGTAACAATTTTGTCTTAAACGCAGGGGTTGGAACCGGTTCAGGGAACAGAACCGAAAACCGAAAAATAACGAACATTTTCAAGGAACAGAATCAGAACCAGGAAGGAAAGTGATCTCTAATGTTCAGGAACAGAAGTGTTGTTATTAAAAGCATGGGAACCGGTTAATAACGTTATTTTACGCTGCCGGGCGTTTTTTTCAGTCCCACTAAAAATGCAACAAGGTGCCTATGCCAAATCCCTCTCTGTCCCTCAGAAACCCAGCGTCTGTCTGAAACTCCAGCGTCTGTCAGAAACTCCAGCGTCTGTCTGAAACTCCAGCGTCTGTCTGAAACTCCAGCGTCTGTCTGAAACTCCAGCGTCTGTCTGAAACTCCAGCGTCTGTCTGAAACTCCAGCGTCTGTCAGAAACTCCAGCGTCTGTCAGAAACTCCAGCGTCTGTCTGCCAGCTGAACATCTTTACCAGTGGGTGTGAGACAGGGTACAGTCCAGGCAGCAGGCTGTTAGCCAGCCGGCCAGCTTAGTGGAGTCTGCCACTAGCACAGTCAGGGTAGTCAGCTCAGCTTTCCCCCATTGAGACCGTGTCTGTGCCTCGATCTAGGTTGGTCAGAACTAAACATGGCAGTGTTCGCCTTAGCAATCTCACTGGAATAAAGATCTCCTCCATTCCTGTCATTATTGAAAGAGATTGTGATCTCTCACATCTCATAATAGGGCTACTTAATGTTAGATCCCTCACTTCCAAGGCAGTTATGGTCAATGAACTAATCACTGATCATAATCTTGATGTGATTGGCCTGACTGAAACATGGCTCAAGCCAGATGAATTGACTGTGTTAAATGAGGCCTCTCCTCCTGGTTACACTAGTGACCATATCCCCAGCGCATCCCTTGCAGCTGTCAGATTTTG